AATACTCTAGAAACAAACTTACCGTGTTGCATTTCTCCATCAATGTCTGTATTTTGGGTTTGAGGACTTCAATTACTTGCAAAATATACTAAAAAAATAAAAATATTGTTTTAAATAACAAGATGCTTACTGTATCAATCTATTACATGCCCAGTTATGCTACATGCTTTGTCATGTTTTGTCAGCTCTTCAGTATCCCTAACTCTTTTGTTGCAATTATGGGAAATATCCATCTTCTTCAGCAAATATAGGTAGGTGTCCATTCTTTGCATAAAAGAATGCACATTTTACTGGGAATATCCCATAAAAAGAGAAACACCAGAAATTTTATGAGCATTTCACGTAATGATGTTTGTGCAGACAGATGGAAAAAAGGGTACCCAACTGACAATATGGCAAGCAAATTGTGCGCAAAACTTTAATGTTTCAGTTCAAAAGATCCCTGCACATTTTAAAAACGCCATTATTTTAATCCCATTGTTAGGTCCAAAAACTATAAAAACAACTACTTGTACAGAGTACAGACACATGTAATAGATAGTATAGTGTAAAAATGCACACAAAAAACACTGTAATGTAGTATCTGACCAAATAGAGTTCAACATTAAAATATTGGAGGATCATGGCAGCCAGCTCACAAACTTGCACATTACGTACTTTACATTAATACCACACAGAGAATTTAGAGGTGAATCATACACTTCGAAACCTTTTTGATGTCCCCTCACCAAGACTCACCTTGTTACAAGGGATATGAGTTTGATGGCCTAAATAGGAGAGGATACCATCAACAGTTAGTGTTACATTACTGGAAAGTTCCTCATATGCTGGTAATTTAATAAAACCTAGTTAAGTTTGAGGAAATTTCAAACTCTACATAAATGTTAACTAACAATGATTAATGATTAACAACTCCATATAAATCCTTCTAAAACAGGCCTGGATAGGAGAGATCATAATATGTTTCTGGGAATCTGCCCACCTACCCCTCCCCTAAGCCAAAATTTGCCCTAAGTTAGAGGTAAGTCTTAATATTGGCTTAGGGGAGGGGTAGATGGGCAGTTTCCCAGAAACATATAATGATCTGATCGGAGGCAGCATGGCTGAGTGGTCAGCTTGTTGGACTCCTGGGTTCAAGTCCCGCTCTGGTCCCTAGCTGGATTTGTTCTCGGACATCCTGAGTTCAAATTCTTGGCCACAATTGAAAATAGCCAACTGGTTGCCTCCCACCAGTTGATGTTTTTAATCCTGTTATGTTCTGTTTAGATTATTTGTCTCTAATTATTTGAGTGGAGTGCCTGTAAACTAGCTGGAAAGTGCGCATTTCACTGTAAACAAACCTTAAAACTTAACTTTCTTTAGAAGAATGGATATAAAGTCATCAAGGCATAATGGTGGTTAAATTTTCGCCAATAATTTGCACTAACAGACTGATTTTTAGCAAGGCATTTTTTATTATGTTTTTTCTGAGTATGCCAACCAATCCCATAATTTCCCAGATTCCATTTTTGTGAGGTTATCACTTTGTTACTCTATTGAAGAGGAGTTACACAGGCAATTGCATCTTTTTTAATTCAGTGATCATTCACTTTTCTTCCGTTTACTTCTTTGGCTTTGTTTTTCTATCTTGTTTTCAGCAATTCATTGTCTACGTTATTTTTAATATGCACTTGGGTATTGGTGTACAGGTAGCTAAGCCCCTGTTTAGGTTTTCGACTGACACAAAATATACTTACATACCTTGCAAGTGTTTTGATTCATGGCCTTCAGACAGCTTTCTCTTTTTATGTGTGGTCTAAAATAAATGGTGAAGTTGTTTGGTTATTTTTTTACAAGGTTTTCTGGACACAGGCCTGCCAAGAGGGAATGGGGACAAATGGGACTCATAGGTCCCATGTAAGGTGCCATCCCTACCCAATCCCACAACCAGTAAAGGATGGCCACACCACCAGGGTCTACATCCCCTACTCTTTTCAAACAGTGGTGTGGGTTCTTTTACATCCCACAAGAACAAATCAGTGAAAGTGCTGTGAGACGGAACTTACGGTTTTTCGTACTTATCCGAGAAGACTAGAAAGTCTAACCATTTCCAAATGTTATTACAAAGGCAGCACTTTCTCCTCAGTTATTTAAAGACCCTGAGTGTTGGTCGGGCCGGGGTTTGAATCCACGACCTCCCGCTCAGCAGACTGGTGCTCTTCCAACTGAGTTAACAGGGTGGTGGCTAGCACTACCATTCAGAGCAAGGTGTGATTTGTATGGCATTTAATCAAATGGTGTTAAATGAAATTAGGGATTAATTTCACGCACGCTTTTGTCTGCTATGTGCTCTTTTATGTTTTTAGGTTTTCTAAAGCAGCTTTTAATGCCCTGACATCTTCATTCGTAACATTTTGAAACTTTGCTGCCATCTTGGCACTGACACATATGGAACGTTACAATGGTACTTTTGTTATTTCACATGTGAAGTTACAAATTAACGGTGAGATTTCGCTCCAAAATTAGGGAGTAATTTGTCACCCATGATATTAGAATGATAAATGATTATTACTATTTTTATGACTTTGTGTTATGTGACTGGCCAATAAACATAAAGGTCATAATAAATTTCAAAACAAATTATTCTCTTGATTGGTACCATTCGAAATTTATATTATGGACGCTTTCAATTTGTCATCACTGACAAGCCAGACCATTCCCGATGTAAGGTGAATTTCACTTTTAATCCAAACCATCCGGCCAGATTTGGCAAATCCTTTAATAGTATGCACAAAGGAGATGGTTTTCCAGCAAAAACTCTTGGAAAAGCCTTTTTATTGTCTAAATAACTACACGTACACAAGGAACTTTACTACACATTGTCTTTCTTCACCCAGATGTATAAATAAGTACATTGTGTACCGGCGACATACTGCTTGGGGATAGCCCTGCTATGGACTAGCATCCCGTCTAGGTGGAGTAGCAATACTCCTAAGCACACTTCATGGTACGGAAACTGATATAAGCTCCGGCCGTTTGGGCCTTTGGTTTTGTATGCGCCTTTACCCTTTACCTTCTACAGGAAGAATTAAAGGGTTGATTGTTAATTACCTCCACGTCGTTGTGTGTGTCATTCTTGTGTACAGGCATTGTAACACCTTTATGCACTCTATCCATAGAATCTTTACTGAACATGTCAGACTAAAAATTAACATAAAATGTTGTCATAATGGTATTTGAGAAGCAAGGATGACATTAGCCTGTGTTGAAGGAGTTAAAAGGGGAAGGGAAGGGTTAGGGGAATTCCGGCACGCAAGAGAGCATGAGAAGGAGGACATAGGGACACCTGCAAGGACACTATTGTTTTTTCCAAACCCCCTCCTAATAGGCCATTTGCACGATGGTGTCATTTTACTAATACGACCAGAATCTTTTACGTTTTTCCTTTCATATTTTAAATTTGGTGATCCCAGCGAGGATTAAATAACAAAAGCCCTAATTTGCACAAGAAAGCAAAACCCTAAAGGATTCTGGTTGTAGTAGTAAAATGACAAAGATTATTTCTGGCATCAAAACCATGACTGCAAATTTTGATAGTATGTACTTCATGTAAGACTTTACATAATGTCCTAAGCCATTCCTATTGGAGGTTGGGGAATGGTAGATTGTTGTCATGGTTATTGAGTGCTCGCAGAGTTCTATTGTATGTTTACTTCATTATTATAATTGTTGCTCTTTTAAACCAGTCAATAAAGGGAAACCTTATTAACAAGGAAGCCTCCTTGGAAAAAAGTGCTCATTTCTGGCCAGAATTTTATATATTAGCCCAGTGGCCAGTTATTTCTAAGTCATTTCCTTTGACCTCAACCACAATAGTTATTGTATGTAAGTTAAGTAACGTTAGATGATCATGAGTACAGTCAGAATATATAGGAATTAATGAATATTTATTACAATGGTAATAAAATAACCTCAAATAAGACCTTCTATTGTAGCTTTAAGACAGGGTATTTATAAGTGGCAGCTAATAGTGCAGTAAACAGTAGTATTTGATAACCAAACTTACAAAGCTAAACTTAATAATGCTTTCACGTTCGACAAAATTATTTCCTCAACACGTGGTGTTTGCCATAAAACAACCAAGTTGTACAACGTGACCTTTAACAAGTTTAAGGTAAAAGGCTTTAAAGGTTACCTTCAGAAGTTTGTCCAGCTCAAAAACTCTGTCGGGAAAGAAATTTTTAACTGAATCTTCGGCCTAAGTAAAAAACACGGAAAAATCGATGCAGGTAAGCTCAAGCTTATATTATTATAAAAGTTTAACAGCAAGCTAACGCTAAACAGTATATGTCATCAATATTTGACCATTTTAGAAAAGCTAACTACAACACTCCACGCCACAAAACTGTGAGTTCAACACAAACCTCTCTCCTGACATCTTCATGGAAATCTTTAAGCTGAAATTTTCCAAGATTATAGTCAGTACAACCAGAGAAAACGTCTTCGGAATAAGGTGAAAAATGCCGGCTTTCTACCGAAGATCAGCTCAAATGTATTCAGCATTTGGTATGAACTTTGAGCCTTAAGGAAGATTAAAAAAGAACAATGACTTGTACGAAGCAGTTAATTACCTTTCCTTTAGCGGAGTTCATTTTGTAATCTTTATCCGTGTAAAAAAATAAAGCCACGAGGGAAATTAGTCGGAAGAGCAGCAAATCTCCTTACCCCTGTCCTTACGCAAACAGAACAAATTCGCGGCTTCTAACAGAAGCCGCTGACAATGAACACAGCGTGTTAGGGAGCCTCGTTCTCACGATTTTGGAAACGAGGCAGTAGTGGAAGTAAAATCGAGTTGCAATCATCTTTTTTCCATCTGTGTTGCCAAAAGGTTAAGGTACATGCACCTGGAATAGCCCTTAAAACGTAACGCAAGCTGCGTCTTTACTGTTTGAGTTTAAGTTTGAAACCGCCGCTTTTTGGAAATCTAATCGCTCACCAAGGTGATTTAATCGACCGCGAAAATGACCGATGATAGATTCCGCGATGTTGTAGCAACTTGGGACATCGCTCTGTCGGATGGTAAACACAGAATTCAATTTGAACATGGGACGACCACTGGAAAGCGAGTTATTGTAGTTGACAATGTAGAAGTCATTCGACACAACTGGATGTTTAGACTTGTGGGAAAGGAGAGTTTTAACGTCGGTGGGAAAAGGGCAACGATACATATCGAAGCGGTTAGCGGTTTTCAATATGAATACACCCTTGAAATTGATGGAAAACCCCTCAAGAAATTTGTAGAAAATCGCAAGAAAACAGCCAAAGTATGGACATTTCTTTTAGATGGGTTCGAAACACGAATGGTGCTGGGTGAGTTTAAAATGCTTTATTTATTGATTTTTTTGTTATTACCATTATCCTTTTAACACCTGTCAAATGTTGTCCTGCAGATAAACCCTGAATTGATCTTAAAGTGCTGTATTCCCACCTTTCGCAAATTACAGTAAGCCTTAAGTTTTCATACAAACAAAGTTCGGATTCAGGAAAATTTGATGGAGCTACATTGTGGGAATTTATGTGTATGATCAAGTCCAAGTATCACATGCAAAAAAAAAATCCAATGTTTTTGTCCTATGGAATAAAGTGTACCAGGCTCAAAAGGCATGATTAATTTGTGTTTTTAACGCTTTGTTTTCCGAATTTACACACCTAATGGCAGGTGTTTGATTATCATCGTTGCGATTGGAAGAGAATAAGCCAGTACTCTTGTTTTCAGTGTCAAAATGCAAAATTTGGCAGAAATTATGACACAATAGAACAACTTTACTGGTTGAAATGAAAAAGTGTCAGAGCAGCCCTCAAGTACGGTGACAAACATTGGCAGCTGCAGAGCAATATATGGAACCTTTGATCTCTCAAACTTCCTGATATACCAAAACTGACTATTTCTGTAGTTATTTTCCTCTGATTTTTCAATAATTCTCTAGATACTGTAAAACAATTTCCTTCACTCTAAGAATTTGGAATTGAAATTTGTCTGTACGTATTCATGATGCAAGTTTTGTGTCCTCTGCCATTTACACTGTGTAGACATAATGTTTGACTTGGGAAGATTTTTTTAATGGTTTTTGCCATAACTTCCATGATTCACAACAAGAAAATTTTCAGAGACCAGTTTATTTTTAGATTCAGTGTTTATTAAGACCATCATATAGCTAAGTCCCACAAACCATTCAGCAAAAACGTAGATACCAGTGAATGGTATTTTTTGACATTCTGATGACTAAATTAGCACACAGACATGGAATGGAGGTTCCCTTTCGCTGGAAAAGGTTAACTAAAATGTGGTTAAAAATAGATATTGTTGGCTTGTGAAAATGCCATTGTCACCCTGTTGACAGTCCCTAATTTCCCTAAGGCCATTAAGTAAAGCACTTACAGTTACTGTACAAATGTACTGATTCGAGCCTGGAGAGGGGTATCAAATCAACTCTACGTGGGGGGGGGGGGGGGGGGCGGGGGGGGGGGGAAAGAAAATTTTTTATTTAACTCATTTTTTTTCCCCCCCAAAACATACAAACACACCACACCATTCCCATTGCTACCTACTACCACCAATGACCACCCACACAATTTTCATTACCCATCATGGATTGGAAGGAGGCTAGAAAAATATTTTTATTTACCCTTGTTTCTTTCCCCCCAAAACTGCTATAAACCCCAAAGCCTGCTCCCTTGGTACCTGTTTAACCAAGATGGCCACCCATAATGGTAAGTGCTCAACCTGATGATCTTACCAAAAAATAGGGGACTGTGAACAATCTACACTATAATAATTATTATACACTTAGGATAGGAGTTGCTTGTGCTGGGCTATAGTCTAATGGTGATGTACATTGTATGTGTATGGGAGCTTATAATGAAAGGAAGTGGCCTGGAGTGTGAAAAGGCTCTTTGGTGGGGCATAGGGTGCAAGAATTTTGCCTTTGTTAGGGGTACCATCAACTGAGGTCTATATTCATCTTGACGTTGTCAACATAGAGTCCTAAAGTGTGACGTCATTAAAAATTAAATTTGTGAAATTATGCGATTTTTCAGGGTATTATGAAAGAACAACATTCAAAAGGCCCACTTGCCAAAAATAAGCATTCCAGGGCAAAGAAATTGTCTTTTAGATATTAGCCCAGTTATGCTCTGATAAATCCATACAAATCCTTCTACATTTTACTCAGTTCATAACATTAGGAACTGAGTCAAATTTAGAAGGATTTGCATGGAGTCATCAAAGCAAAACCGGACTAGTATCTCTGAGACAATTTGCCCCACAATGCTAGTTTTTGGTAAGTAGGCCTTTCAGACATTGTTTTTTCAAAATATCCCAACAAATCCCATGATTTCAAAATTTAATTTTTATGACATCCTCACTTTAGAACTCTATTCAGCATTATTTTCTGACCGTGACACCACATGCTAGTATATGGATTGGTTGTGATTAAAGAAAGTCCATAGCCTACTGCATGATTCTCGTCCCTTTCTTCACACCATTTTCCATTAAGAACCTGTTTGCATCCGTGATCCAAAGACGGTTTTCAAAAAAAAAAAACACAAATCTCCCTCTACCACAACAACACACTCACAATATTAAGATGGAATCCATCAGGAAATTAAGTAATTTTAATTGTCATTGGACATAAACCTTGTACCAGAATATTTTAAGCCATATCACATTCGTTTTCACACTATTCAAGGGCTATAGATGTAATTAGTTATCTGTAATAACACCAAAGACAATTTCTACTAGGAGCCCTTGAAAATAAGATAATTTTCATGTTGTGAAATTTTAACCTTTTTAAGGTGGTTTTCTCAGTCTCCTATGAGAAACCTTTCTTTGGAGTCATCACATAACTAATTATTTATTACATTTATAGCCCTTGGAAAGTGTAAAATCGAATCTAATGTTTCAAATTATTCTGGTACAAGGTTTCTGTCCACTGAAAAAATACCGGTACTCAATTTCCTAATGGATCCTTCTTAATTACATGCGAATGTTTTGAAAAGTGTATTGTTTGATTCTCTCTCTAGAGAAGGACACGATGGAAGTGTGGGTGAATGGAGGTGTTGTAGAAACTGCTGTAAGTCTAATTGTTATTTCCTTACCTTTAGCATATAATCACATATTCTCCTTACTCTTCTGCGCACATTTCTTGGAGTGCTTGCCATTATGCCAACATTTCCAGCAATTTCAGTCGAACTATAGAGTGTTTTCACATGACGTCGCAGTGGCCATATTGGTGTCCAAAAACAATGAAATGGTGGCCATGTTGGTGTCCCAAACCAATCCTCTGGTAGTTTAACTCTTTTCTTATGCAAACACTTTCTTTTGATTCAATAAATTTGCATAGATGCTGGCCACATGAGTGAAAACACTCTATAGATAGAAGGGATCAGTTCAGGTGAAAATTTTGGGGAAAAAGTGGTCCACCTTGAGAGGTGGCCCTCACTGAATGGTTGGTCCAGTCCAACCAAACCTTACCTTTCCATTTCCAGAATTCTTGTTTCCACGGTTAGTTCTTTGAGAAGTTATCAAAATTTTGATTGAAACCTGAATTGGAATGATTTGATCTTGTTGGAAACTTTGCCTCAATCAATGTTTTCCCATAATTTTCTGTGTGGTGTACAGAGAAAATGTTTTTTACTAACAAGTGGCAAGAAGTGTTATTAAAATATTATTGGCAGAGTAGGATTGTGTTTCATGGCTGGTGTCCTTTTCTTGTGTACTAAATATGCAGTGATTTTGTTACTGCACCTGCACCCTATGTCTCTGCAGCATCTCTGGGGGGTGGGGGGGGGGAGTACATATGTCCCTAGTCTGAATTTCAAATATAGTCGTTTTGTGTTTTGAGGAGTGGGCCATGTCCCTGTTGTTATTTAAACTATCTTCATGCCATTTGTCGCCATTTCATCTAGTCTTATGTGGCTGTTTCATGTCCATGTCGCATGTCGGGAATTTTACCCTATTAACAGGGCCACATAAGCATCTCTCAAGATGCAAAATAATAAACAGCATACAACTTGTAGAATGAGAGGATCGATTGAGCAACCTGATGATGTCAAAAAATACCGTGTTATTACTCTTACAGTGAATGATGGAGTCTTGTAAGGTAGTTTTAGCTTACAAGTCTGTGAATCGAGTGACACATCGCGTCTATAGCAGTACTTTCGGTTTTTCTTTGTCTGATTTTGGTCAAACTACTTTGGTAGAGCAAGAAGTAACAGTTAATGTGAGCATGTTAATTTTTTTTTATAATCAGGGTGAATTTGTGGATGATGGAACAGAAACACATTTCCAATGGGGAAGCCACAACTGCTACATAAAAGCCATCAGCTCAGGAAAAAAGAAAGATGGAATCATCCACTCCCTGGTTATAGATGGAAATGAAATACCCGAGTCTATTGATGAATAGTAGCTGAAAACAGAAGGATGAAAACAACTTTAATGTACTTGTAAAATACTTTTAAGAACTCCTGCGAAGTTGATGGGGGCGGTGTATTACAATAGAACTACACTAACTCATATTAATTTTGTGCCAGCCATTTTAAATAATAAAAATATTATTTGGTCAATTGGTGCGAGGTCTGGAACTCAGATTTCTTCAGGAAGAAGTAAGAAACTGGCTTACAGTACTTTCAGTAAAGGATTAGATATTCAGAGCAGATGCTTTTTTCGGCTCTTGTTTTACCCGCTACTTTCCTGGCAGGTGGAACTAGCCGAAAAAAAGGCCTGCTCCCCACAGGCTAATATTCAGAGAGAATTTTCAATTTTCTGCCCATTGAGACCAAAAATGAATTCTTGGTTGCAGAACTTGCACATGCCGGCCAATAATAATAATAATAATAATATTAAAAATTGAAATGGCTGTCAAAATTGATATTGATACTTTCAACTCTCTCTACGATAGATTACTATTGATCACTACTGACAAAACATCTAAGTTTCCATCTTAGAGTTGTGTCTTCTCCTAAAGAAAGTCTAAGAAAATAACTGAAGAATTTATGGACAAGCTCTAGAGGAGCCTGTTAAGAGACAGGACCATTATGATGGATGTGTTTGTTCATTACTAATAATGTTATTTTTGCAAAAAAATAGAATTTTGTTACTCTTTTTACTATTTATTACCTAGAAACAAACACTGGTGACACATTAGGTGTACAAAGTAAAATCTGCCAGAATTGTGTTTTCCACAGAATTATTGATTTTTTGTCTTGGTAGTCTGACCACTTTAATGATGTGCACATTCATTGACTAAAGATTCCAAAGTTGTTTTCTTACGCAAATTAACCTCTTTTGCTGTTTTTTATTTCACTTGAATTGTTAAACTTGAATAAGAAAGCAACAGAAAGTGAATTTTGGTTAGTTGTACTCAAATGATGTTGTTCTGAAAACATAAAATAGCTGAACATGACAAACAAGTATAACAAAGATGCCAATTTATTACGTATAGGTATTTATAGTTGTAAATACTAGAAAAATTCATGCCCTATTATGCGCTTATTTGATGCCACTGAAGGGTTTTACTTGTAAGCAATTTAATCACTTGGGCATTCAAGATAGAAACTTGAATGTTTGCTTGCTTAAATTAAAACAAATACACAGAAAAAGAGTCATTGTTGTGATAATTGAACGGTTTCTGATTTCATCAGAAGGGGGGGGGGAAGGCAACTACTGTTTTCACGTAACAGAGCATGTTAACAACACATAATTTTGTGTTTCAATGGGCAGTTAGCCTGTGCAGCAGGGGCTTATAAGCAAAGAATTCAAGACCCTGTGTGAGTAGCGATGCACATACGGCGACTACACATATCAAGCCATGTCCTGAGTGGTCCCTTACAGGAGGATAAAAACAATGGAAAATTCTAAAATGCTCATCCAAAAAAGAGGAGGCGGTCACTTTGGAAATATGGCTCTTTACAAGAAGTTCTAAATAATTATAGTGATTTGACTGGGAAAATTTTGGTGTTTTGATTATGAGGCTGCTTACAAAAGGTGGTCGCACATAGAGTTTTGACTGTATTACGGAAAACTGATCACCACTTACGGCATAATATGAAGTCTGTGATTTTCTGTTATCGATAAGATCTGGGACGTTCAGGATAGAACAAAATCCCCAGACCATCTGCACATTACCTGACATAAATGGATGGAGAGTCATTACCTTATCAAGAGACCAAAATTGTTGACTTAATGCAAACAGCTTTGTGCCATACACTACAGAAAACTCAAAACATACTCAGGTTCTCTCATCTTTGGCCCCTGCCATTTCTACTTAAATTCTCTTTTTTCCCTCATAAGAGTCATTTCTCTTGCCAGATGATCTCTTGGTATAAGTAGATCCCTCCTCTCTTGACTCTTTATAATCATATTTTTCATTCTCTCTCTTTCTAGAGTCATTCCTTCTGGACCCTTTGCTATTGTCATAACCTTTTGACTGTTTATACCTATCACCTCCCCTATCACCCATAGCTTTCCTGTCTTTATAATCTTTTGATTTTTCCTTGTAATAGCTCTCCTTTCTTCTGTCTGCTGAATCCCGCTCCTTTCTCCCAGAGTAATCTTTTTCCTTTCTCTGTTTTGATTCTTGTTTCTCTTCAAATGATTTTAGCTTTTTATCCACACTCTTGGTGGTTTCTGCTTCGCTTCCACTACTGCTGCTGGATTCTTCTCTATCCATGCTACGTCTTCTTCCAGTTCTCTCTTTAAACGACCTCTTCTTGTTGTCGCCATAACTTTTCCTTTCATAATCAGCTGAATCATCCCGGTCTAAATTTAGCCTGACATCTCTCCCCTCTGTAAAAGTCCTTTTCTTGACATCACCCCTTTCTTCCTCATCAGAATCACCTGACTCCCCTCTTTCCACACTGTGTCTCAGCTCTTTCTTCTCCTTGAATGATCTTTTCTTAACATTTCCATCCTCAGTCTTTTTATCTGTAGGCTCAGTTTGTATAGTCCCAGGAAGAATTCCTCCCTGCTCTGTCCCCTTTACGAATCTGATTAACAATTTTGGACGCAGAGCTGACTTGATCCTCAAAGTATCTGCATACTCGATTACCTTCTCCAGTGTGTCTTGTTGTTGCGTTGGAGTAGAAGTCAACTGCTCACTCTCAAATGAAACTCGCTGGTCTTCTTGTTCTTCTTCCTCTTCCTCCTCTTCACTGCTTGATTCTGCAAATGCAGAAGCAGTGCTTTTAACAGGTTTAGACTTCATTCCAAACTGCACCATGCCTGGACCTTTCTTCTTTCCAATGTTAAATGAAAAACCCTGTTTTGGGGGCGTGGCTGTTCCAGGTGTTTCTGCCTCACTTGCATTGCCAGAAGACGCACCCATCCTGAAACTGAATGGTTTCTTTGCTTGATTATCTCCTGGTGGGGGTGGTGGTAGGGGAGGGGCTGGCTCATTAGGGAGGGGTGGGGCTGGCTCACTAGGTAGAGGAGGTAGATTGTCCGGGGGTGGGGGTGGGACAGCTTTAAAGCCTTGCTGTACTGTGATTGGCTTGAATCCAGAACTGCCAGTTGTCGTATTTGATGACGTTTTAAATGCTATATTGAATCCTGCATTGGATCTGTTGACAGTAAAAATAAATTTTTATTTAGATTAAAGGGTGATTAAACCCTAGCTTTCCCTTTTGGCCTTTTTCTATTATTTTATCTACCTCTTTCTTTTGATCAAGATTTGATTTTTTACTATAATATTCTACAGTAATAAAACAGCAGCCACATGCAGTCAGAGACTGTCTATTTTTTTAAAAAAATAAGCCTTAACTTACTTAGAAAAAGATCCAGTTCCAGCAAGAAGATGTAGCCTTTGCATCTCTTTTTCCATCTGTTTCTGTTCCTTCTTCTTTTTTGCATCTACAATTAAGTTAACATGGAAGTAAAAAATACACTGAAAAAACATGGTACATTACAAAATCTCATCATTCATGGCATAAGCTACAACATGGTTAGAGTCAAACCTGTATATAACAGCCCTGTATATAGCGGTCATCCTATATATTGCGGTCACCGGATAATTTAGCAAAATTTGCCTTATGTTTTCTGTAAAGTTCAGGGTTCTCAATAAGTTTTAACATAGACAGCAAGAATGTGAGAGTAGGCAGCTTGCCAATTGAATTTCATGGTCAATTGCAGGCTTTCTCACTTTACCCTAGTAGACAGCTCAAACCTCCAAGTAGCTAGGGCCCAGTTGTTCGAACCCCTGTTAGCGCTAACCCAAGGTTAAATTTTAACCTGGGCTTCTTTTTCTTTTCATCAAAAGCACTCTCTCGGATGGGTGAGAGAGTGCATTGTTCGCTGCTCAGACTTAGAGTTTTCTTTGTGGCAAATTTTCTACAGCACAGTTAGAGGTCTTACCAAATTTTAAGACACGCAGGAGTCTTTCAGATGAGTACGATGGTTAATTTCAATTCAAGAGCCTTTGACTCGTCCAGGTGTTAAACCTGACGAGAATATGAGCATTTGCTCTTCGACTCCGCAACACGGGGGATATACAAATTCCAGCTTGCTAGAAGGTGATGTGAAAGTGAGAAAATGTCTTGCAATGCTATTCTTAAGAAACTGTATGAGCCGGAAATGGATGTGATTTTGACCATTCGCTTCAAAATAACAGCGGAAATCGAGATAACNTTTTTTTTTCCGTTTTTTGTGTTGTTGTTTTCTATAAATATATAGCTAAATAACTGTTACTTAATGAAGTGCAACAAACAGCAAGGAAAGTATTGTGTTTCCAGAGAAAATATCGTGCACCGCATATTAAATATATGGATAAACAATCTGAATTTCTATTATTTCCTACAATTTACTGTGGGAAAACCAGAGTTGATAACCACTTGATCATTTTCTAAACAACGTTCCCACGAGTTCTTTCTATAGACTGATAGTAATCATGAGTAATTATTCTAGTACTTTCCAACATGTAAATAGGACATTCAACGTCATTTTCGATTCTTTTAAGTCTTACTGCCTAACTAATGCCAGTATCAACAGAATGTGCCGCAGCATTACTATCTTTTAGATACCCTAGTATTATTATTATAACTACACCAGTCATAAAGGAGTGTATCGGGGACTTGCTCAAAATCGGCCGTCCACCAGTGCAAAATGGCCACCAAATTGGATAACAATCAAACAATTAGCAAATCACAACAAACTTGATTCAAAAGCTCATTACATTGTCACTAGCGGGGCAGGAGTACAGGCCTGCAGGGAGGGGTGTGGGAAGGGTGCAATGTCGGACCAATGATTTAAAACAAAAAGAGTTGATAATATTTTTCAAATCTCATTCACTGATTGTGTAGCAAACTTGAAAACTCTGAAAGTGTTAACAAGCCTCATGCTTTCCACAAAACGTGTTTTTGCCTTCATGTAAACGTATCAAGGGGATTTGGCATGCCTACAAGGCATTAACCCCTTGCTAATAAATTACACCTTGTCCTTAAGGAAAAAAGTCTGTATTGGAGGATTTGTAGTGCGGATTGAGAAAATGTTTTCGTGCCGCTTTTCCTTTACTGGGAGGTCATGTGGTCTTTTACTGTTCAGTGGCTGACAATAGACATAAATGATGAAAACGGCTGAAACTTTTTTGACCTTCCATTTTCATCGATTTAAATTACTATTGATTATCGAATTTCATTGATTGAGCATGCCGGGCCTTTAGCATGTGCATTTGCTTTATGCCTTATTACCAGACTGTGCTCACCTTTCAAATATCTAAATACAGTAGTTATTTCCACATAAAAACATTATTCATTACTTTCCAGTAGAGTTTAAAGAAAACCTGTATATGGCAGTCACCCTGTATACATGTATAAAGTTCTGTCAGCCGACCATTTCCATAGGGTGACCATTATATGCAGGTTTGACAGTTTGTCATGACAGTGTAATGATGATGACCAGAGTACCATAACTGCTCTTGTTCTGGGGTAACCGTAAAAGTAAAAAACTGCATTATAGTAATATTTCACAGTTTTTCAAGGTTACATTAATCTCGTTATACAAATATAAAAGTTTAATTCTATATAACCAGTAAGTACAAAAAAACTTACATATATTTCTGGTTGACTCTCTTTGCCTCAATTCCCTGAGTCTCTGCAAAATGTATAAACTACATATAAACAGAAGGGATTTATCTTGCCATGGAAATGCACTTTATTAGAAGCTCTAAAAGCAGCTAAGTCAGTATGTGGATCAAATCAAAATAAATGTATTGAAAAAAAGCCTTTCAAAATTAGTCTCAATACAGTTAACTGACATAAAGCTAAATTTGTCAGAAACATTCAACTGACAGCATGACTAAGAGGTTGTCTCTTTCCACAGAATTTTCCTGTACTTCATGTATTTAGTTTCCCCCCTAAAATACTCCACCTTAATGCTGCATTTAGCCACTATAATGTACAGATTCCCCCAATAAAGTCACTGAAATGCTCAGAGGCTATTTTCCATTTAAATTTAATGCTAACAAAAACATTCAAGTGGTATAACAACTTGTAAAAGTTAAAGGTTTTTAGTACAGCAAAAGATAATCGTCTAAATGGCTTAATAAGGGTGCCATTTGTTTTTGTACTTTAGAATTTGCTTTTAGGTGCTCATTTTCTCTTAAAAACTTCTTTAATTTTCATTTTCCCCGAAAAAAATAATTTTCTGAGAAAATTCCACTGAAATGCTCATAAAAATGTTAGTGTAATGTACACTGTACAAAAGCCTATTGGGAAGAGAATATTTTTACCAGATTATTCTATACCTGCCGATGTGCGTGGTCGTAAGAGTTGATGTGATTATCATATTCCTTGTATTTAAAATACTGTTTGTCACAAAGTTCACAGTAGAACATCTCTTTCAAATCCCGTAAACTCTCCTCGATGGCTTTTTCCTTTTCCTGCTCATTCTAAGAATAACATAAATTCACATTTATTATTATAAAACAGCAAAGATAGCATGCATGCTCTGATTGGCTGAGGGGTATGAGAGTAAGAAAACATAGTTGTGGAGTCAAGATGTTTAAATGGTGTTTTTAGGAAGCTGGAATGAATCTGAGGATGGGCCACATCTTCCTCAAGAATACCCATGGTTTGTGCAACTTCAGACAAACAAATTTCAAGGACTTTTCTAGGACTAAGATTTGTTTACCGTATTGACTAAAAGCCGTCATGGAGTCATTTACAATTTTTACTTCTTCCACTATCGTTGATCACATTATTTTAAAATCCTTTCTGCAACAAGACTTTGCAAAATGACTGGGTATGACTTGCAATTGCATCTGAGGTATGGAAATAGCATTTGAAATAAAGAGACAGAAATAAAATATTGTTCATGTACAAAAATGGTTTTACATTAACTGTGAGTTTTACAGATTCTTACACTGAGGATGAGCCAAATTTTCCTCTGCAAAATAATCTAATTTTTAAAATAAGGTCTCTGGCGTAGACAAGGTTGTGAATTTCAAGGACTTTTCAAGAGCTACTGAAGGAATCAAGTACTTTTCAAGGGCCTAAATTGAATTCTAGGACTTTTCAAGATGACTAGTAAAATTCAAGACCTTTTCAAGATTGTACGAATCATGATACCATACCCACTTGGGAAAGACAGCTTAAAAGGTTTGAACCCAGGAGTCATTTCATAAGTAGATCTCCATACATTTCATTACTGACAGACGACCAATAATATCTCGACTTAATTGACTAATCAGGTCAATAACAAGAGTTTAATACCATCAACTGCTGTGATAAAACTCACTTTGACTCTGAAGATAACTACCACACAGATTGTTGAAATGTCAGTCACTGTCAACAACAGTCCTATTCAGGACTATGTTCACTGAGACAATCATACTCAACCTACTTACATTGTATGAAGTGATGAGAAAGTAGTTGAGAAAGACAGTGTTCTTTAGTATCCACATGACTGATCTCCATACATTTCTTTAAAGAATCAGTTGAGAAAATTTGATAAAAGATCAAAGCATTTTCCGTTTGGAGATCATAGCAATTCTTATAACCTTTTCTCTCGAGGATGTATGAATATTATTGTTAGGAGAAAATTAATTATTTGTCACTTGGCTGTTCTATCAAAAGCCAGAGTATTTCCTTCGTCCTTTAAAAGATTGCTCAACTATGAACTTCAGTGCATTCTGCTGGCTTATCATTAGGGGGCACATTCTCTTGGCTTTAATGCACTGTTTTTTGCCGTATGTTTTATGTTTGTGGGAATCCCAAAAGGCTACAGCCCAGTAAGAACACTGGAAAGGGTTTTAACACTAAGAGGCCTCATAATTCTTGTTTACCTCACTGAGGCATTCACGTTAGTAACACCAGATAGCTCTTGTGCGAACATGAAAAACACACCAGATGCTGCTTCTCATCGCTCATAGGAACAGTGATTTCAAGGCAATTTTTATGTAACAGAGCAAAGTTGCACCGCCCCGATCTTGGAAGTAGATCATCACATATTGGAGAGGTTTCTGCCATGCTTCAAGTGAACTGGTATTAGGACAGCAGTGGGAAATAAATGAGTAGGAGCAATGACTGGAACCCATTCAAACAGAAGTAAATTTTCAGAAGTGAGGATTAGGATTTGGTGTACTAAACTGTTCTGGTCTGAAGTTTGACATTTGTGAACGACTTGTTCTAGTTCTGTGCTATTGCTGTTCATACCATACCAAATAGCTTTTCATGGTGGCAAAAAAAGGCTATTGGGTATAGGGCAGACACAGCCTAAGCCCCCAATAACTTGCCATATTCAGTCTTCATGAGAGGCAATAGTGTGCTGACATGTTAAGTTAGCAAAAGCTGTGTGTTCAGAAAACAACTAACCTGATATTTTTGTTGTAGTTCATCAGTGTCTTCTTTCTCTATCTCCATCACCTTTCTATTGCGAGTTGCTTCATCTGCCTGCTCAAACTACAACCACCACAGAAACGTTTCGGAAAATGAGAGAATGGATTTGGAATGTTGTATCACATAAGGTATGTCCCACTTTAGTTGTATGCACACGTCACATGCCTTTCCATTTGTGAGACTGTACTAAATCATGAGATCAAAGGAAAAAACCTATGTGCTTTACCTGAGCTGTAAAATGTTTTGCTGTTCATTCCAATGGAGTAAATCATGAAGGCAACCTAAAGGCCTTCTACTCTTTCTTTATATGGTCCTTTGAGCCGGACATTTCTTGAGTTGATAATTCTTGTGATTGTAATTCTCAAATAGGATGAATCTGGTTTACCCGACCATGCTGTGGAACCTTCATCTTTCGAGTCAACTGTTTTAAAGGTGCAAGTGATACCACCGAAAGGGGAAAACCTTTCAAGGAAAAAGGCCTTTTACTCTTTCTTAACACCCACTAAAATAACTAAATAATATTATGTTACAAACATACCTCCATAGTGAGACGACCAAGACAGAGAGAATCTTCCTTCCTGACTAAAGGGATTGGCTCTGTACGACCTAAAAGAACAACACAGTGGTTAATACTGCAAATTTCCTGCTGAAACAAGCAAGACCTTTGTAGCACTAATAATGCAAAAAATGCACTATAACTTCTACTCTTAAAATAAATAATGTATTAATCGTTAAGTCAAGTGCATTAAACCATATGTTCCCATATTTCATTACTATCAAGGTTAAAAGATTAGCAAAACTGCCTAAAACATTGTTTATTAAACTAGAAAATGACACAACAAGATTGTCTTTTTTCTTCCACTTCCATTGGGCCCTTATTGTAAGCTTCACTCCCTTAGAAAAGCTCTGGCACAATTTAACATGAAAATACTTTTAAAGAGAGTACAGGTGGGTAGTTACCCTGCAAGTAGAGGCCCTACAATCTTTCTAGGAAGGTTGAAGGGCCTCTCCTTGCAGTCTGGTAGTGGGTATTGGGCTAAAATTTCCATTCATATTTTCCAATCAAAGCAACATGATATTTTGGCATGAATGTCCAGGTTGAACTGAAAGGTGCACCTTCTAAATGATAATGGCTGCTGAGTTAGAATGGTGCAAGAATGATGATATGATACCTTGCTTCTTCCTCCCCAATCCTGATCCAGTAGTCCAGCCCAGTTTGAGAGCCATCTGGTATCCAATATTTTCCTATACAAGTGGAGGATGATACAATTCGGGCAGTACTAGCCAAATCAAAGCAAAACACCCAAGAACAGTCTTTAGGATTGACTATTTAATTATGTCTTATAGTACAGTCTGAGTTGCCATACTGGCCCCAGTTGTTCAAACGTGGGATAGAGCTATCCACCAGATAAATCACTATCCAGTGGATAAGTATTAGGGAAATCAATAAATATTGTTTTATCCACTGGATAGGGATTTATCCAGTGGATAGCACTATCCACCTTTTAAACAACTGGAGTCTGAAGGGAATCCCTTAGGAAAGGTTTTGGGAAACTGGTCATCTGGTTTAGGGGTGCAAGTTGGACATCTTAGTATGACATACAGTGTAGGCTATTCAGAGAGCAGCAAGCTGGGGGGAGGTCATAGTCCTGTTTCATGTGCAAATTTTGACAAATTTCACATATCACATGCTTTATAAAACAATTTCACAAGTCACGAATATAGTCATCACCCGCCAGTTAATCAAACAGGTTACAAACCGAAACCATAGCCATCAGGAATCAGACTCCGCAATTTGATTTGACGATTGCAGCTTCTTTTCTTATTAGAATGTTGGTAGGGTGATCTTAAAGGGCACTAAAAAACAGATGTCAAAGGTTACTGACCAGTACAAAAACGTAATGCACAGAATGCAACCGACAGCGCTGTTCAATCCATTTTGTCCAATACTGTAGATTTCATGTACAATGCAACAAATAATTCATGTGTCCCACATATCTTACAAGATAAATCAGGCTTCACAGGCATACAGTAACTGATTTCACGGATCACGTTAAACTTTTTATTTTGGAAAATTTCATGCATCATGCACTACATTTGGACCTAATCAATCGTCACGCATAAACCCTTTTGCTCTTCTTATGGCTAATTTATTCTAATTTTCTGTCACAAGTCTTTGCCCTTTTTCATATAGGAGTCACCCCCTTCCACCTTTCAGGTTGCCTCTTGATGTAAAAAAATTCAGTGACTACCAAAATCTGGTGATAATAATCATTCAATGACTTTGACAAGAATAGAGATTATCCCAGACTTTCCCTGACCATAAGAACTTTCATTTTCACCTGACTCTTGTTTTTGTGATGGCAACCATGGTGAATGTTGTGACTCACATTTTCTTTGAAATTCAAACCAGACCGATTTTAGTTTTACTCTTTGTCTCAGATTATGAAACTCAATTGAATATCACACAAAAAATGTAGCTGTTTGGGGAATTAAGCAAAAACCAAAAGCTTGGGAAAAAAGATTGCCAGCTCTATTATTCGTGTACTTTGCAAGCAGAGGCTACATTTTCGCTGTGTGAGCTGTAGTGTGAAAAGTAGCCTCTGCCAACAACCATTCAAATCCGTCCAGAAATCTGGACAAATAAATTTTAAAAATAGGCTTTTGCCTGTTCTCGACGGGTTTAGAGCATTGCATGAGTATTGCGGGGACCTTGCATAGCAGATCAGAGTTGTCACAATTTTTTATTCCCGCAAAACTCACGCCATTTGACAACAGACCTGACGATTAATTTTGCTTGGGAGTCACGTGACAAGAAATTCATGCACGCACGATAGAAAATTGAACGGTTGTCGGCAGAGGCTACTTTTCGCATGCCAGCTCACACAGCAAAAATGTAGCCTCTGCTCATAGCGTATTATTCATGCAATGTGAACGTTAGAAAGCATCCTCACTGAATAATTTTCATCTTGTTTGGGGGAGAGCTTAAGCTTACGTCTCTAAGCTTACTTCGTAAAGTTGACTTGCAAAGGTTAAACAAATCAGGTTTCAGCAACCCATTTTCGGCATAATTATAGAATACAGGACCAACTCTCTAGGCATATAAGCTTAAGCTTATCTATCTCGTTCTAAAAACAATTGTCTTGACAAGGCAGCCTGGCACCGAGCCACTTTTCCCTTTAAGACCTTAGGATATGGGCCTGCATTCTGTAGTTGCTCCCCATTTTCCGACTTAAGAATAAAACTGGAATAATATTTAAGCTTAAAAACCAAAGTAATCAGATCTATTCAAAATACCTCAGCGATATGAGCGTCCAAAGTTGCCTTCTCCACAGTAGGTTCATCGTCGTCAAAAATTTGGGAAACGTCTGCATTTCCCGTCTGTAACAGCATAAAAAAGAAGACTCATAACAAAAGTACACCCAGAGCTCTAATTCGTTTCTCGCTCGAGATGTTCTGCTGCGAATATACTCATAAAAGTGCAACATTACAGCTACCTGATATGAACGGTTTTCGTGAAATCTTGAGAATTTGGCCGCCATTTTGAAGTTACTAGCCTCGATGTCACGTTTCTAGCGAGCATGCGTTTCTTGGCCTCCTTTTCACGGAAAGAACATTCTCGTCCCCAGAGCCACTCGGCTTAATTTGTAACGACGTTTCCCTACCACGTGACCAAGAAACGACGGGCTCTGGGGACGAGAACGGAAAGAAAGAAAGAAAGATTTCTCAGTTATCCACTCCCTTCCGTTCGAGTGATACTTCAGATCCAGGCGTTCAGATCGTGGGGACAGCGCAAAGAGATGCATGTGAGCAGAAAAAACTTCCTTCCCGCCGCACTCCACTATCCCAACGCCTGGAACAGGCTAGGCTAGAGCATTTGTAAAAATTACGATATTTAAAAACTCTGAAGGGAGGATTATAATGCAACATAAAGATATAAAGCCATAAGGTCTTGTTCCCGTGTAGAGAAAGATGACAGCCTTTGAACAAATAAAGCTGGCTCTAAATACGCTAGTAAAAACAGAACTGAGAGGCAACTAGAGTTAAGTACGTGACCTCGCAGACATTTTCTTCGGCAAATTTCTCATAAAATAAACATTTGAAAAGCAAGTCTGTAAAAAAAAAATTGTGAAAGTAAACAAATTGCCATTGAAGACTAATACATTCCTAGCGCGAAAAATGCGGTGGCTTATCAGATGAATTCGAGTTTGAAAAGTATACATCTGCATTTGTTTTAGATTACTTAGTAACTACCGCGACTGTCATCGAAAACTAAAATTCCCATGCGTTGGTTTTAACTAAATGCTCTGTTTCACGTTCAATTCTTGTTTGTTTTGTTTTATAACAGGTCATTTGCTAAATATTTACCTAAATGAGTGCGAAATAGATGCCGAACTAAAACCTCTGATTATATTAAAAAAAAAATGGCAAAAAACTGTCAAAATTAAAAGCGATGGAAGCAGATCAGCTGGCAGATTCCGTCTTCTATTTCACCTGTTTTACTATAGCCCTCACGAAGGAATTGTAGATTTATTAAACTTTTCCCCTTCGCAAAAAAAGAAAGAAGAAGAAATAATACAAAGACAGTTACAAAAAGAAAAGTCGATTCAGGCGCAAGACTTTAGCTTCTTAAAAGTCCTCTGTATTTTTGGGTTCCCTGTGTAGACATAATTAAATGAAGTAGCCGTTCCTTTTCTCTTTCGAGGCTGCGCTCGTTAACGGCGTTAATGAGAGCGCTAAGAATACCATTTCGACCAAAATAAACAAAGAAGCTACTTGCACCATTTACACGAGCATACAAGACGAGTCTTTGCTAACGTCCTTTCCAAGCTTACATGGCTTAGCTTTTTAACCCTTTAAACCCTAACATCAAAATTCAAATTCTCATTTGTTATCCCTACGCGTTTTCAATACAAGTAGTGGGGAGAATTTGTTGAAGCATCAATTAGATTCATCTTGTGTGATCATGTCCTTAATTCTCATGACCACTCTGTTTTATAAAGCAGTGATGTTACATGGAGAAATTTGACGCTGATCACTCTTAGGGCTTAAAGGGTTAAGTTTTAGGGTTTGTGACTTTTTTAAGGCCACAGCACTATAAGTTTTGTTTTAGGAAAGGTTCATTTGCCAAGGTTAAATTTGCCTTGAGAAAATGACTGTTTATATTGCCAGACATCTACAAAAGTTGCCATAAAAGGTAAAGTATCCTTAGCTGCTTCACATGCAAAAAAGAATATCTCTTTATGTTTCTCTACTCGAAATTCAGCCAATAAGCTGCCTTTCGCCGAACATTTACACCTTGGTACAATGTTCGAGTTCGTCTGAAACAGGAGCCGACTGGTCTGAGACCATTGTTACCGCACACTAACTTTTCACACTTATACGGAAAACCGAATAAATTTGTTTAATTGTCGAGTTTCTGGGATAACGGTTGCTAGCTCGAAAACAATCTAAATGTTCTTTTCACAGCGGTTATTTGTGGCTTGAGGTAGGTGATTTAATAAGAGATCGCCGAAAATTTACAAAATTTTGACGTAATATTGATGGCGTGATAAAAGTAGTCGATCGTTTGGGTTCTTTTTGGTTGGAAAATTTTGGAACAGCGATACCTCATCACCATCGGATAGTATGGCCTTTAAGCATGTCGTCAAAATAAAGAAAGGGAAGTGATAAAGATAGTTGTAATCATGATTGACATAATGATCTACTTAAGCCTAGTCTTGTTGAACTCAGCTGCTGTAGACAGAAATTGGACTGTGTCGGTTCAATTTGACTGACACAATATTGTCAAGGGGAGCCAATTAAATAATACAGAAACAGACGCAAAACATTTGTAGCGGAAACAATAACAGATGCTAAAAGAAGAACACATATAGAACTACTGCTAAGGAATTGTTCTTGGCAGCTCCTTGCCAGCCGTGTCGAAACCAGAAACTCGCAAGATGTCAGTGAATTCCCCGTCAAATACTAGTCAAGGAAGCGCCGATATTTGGTTGATTTACGGACGTGAAGAAGCAATCATACAGACTGTATTTCTTGGCTTCATTATTCTTTTTGGCGTTGCTGGGAACTTATATATATGCAGCGTTGTTTACAGAAACAAGAACTTGAGAAATCCAACGTTTGTTTTTCTCGCTAACTTAGCTGTGGCAAATATTGGTGCTCTCACGTTATGCACGCCATTTCCTGTCCTCAACAGTATTCGAAGAAGATTTGCGCTGGGAAGACACTGGTGTATTATAAATGGCTTTCTAAACAACTTCTTTTTCTGCATTTCAATTCTCACATTGTCCTTAATCACCTCCCAGAATTATTTCTCAGTTGTAAAACCCCCGTTTTGCTCATGGTTGCATATCACGCCGAGAAACGCAAAGTTTCATTTGGTTGGCTTGTGGACTCTTTGCTTTTTATTTTCGCTGCTTTCCCTAGGCCCGTTCGAGAGTTGGAACTATATTGTTTTTAACCCAACCACGGCACATTGCGGGCTGGCGTTTCCTAACAGCTTGGGAGATAAATTAAAATTGACGTTTCTCGCCTTGGTCGGATTTATTATACCAGTTTCTGTTATGTCGTTTGGCTACACGCGAATATATTGCAAAGTACGTGCGCACGAAGAGAGACTGAACCGAAACTCGACAGAAGGGCCGAGAATAGGTACTTTGACTAGAAAACTTGCGGTGACTCTGTGTCTGATGTTTGGTACATTCGTCATCTGCTGGTTGCCGTTTTTTCTACTCATTGCCCTGGCGGTCGTATTCGACAACGCATCACAACTACCGTGGTTACTGGGAAGAATTGCATATTGGAGTGGCTACCTTAATTGTGCCATCAATCCAACCTTATATTGTTTGCGATCATCTGCGTTTAAGGATGTCATCCGTCGGTCTTCGACATCCACTGGGGAAGTGACAAAGAAGTTTTCGATACCGAACAGACGCAGGAGAGCATTTTCTCTCCCAACAATGCCAGCAAACTTTAATGCTGGCGCTGCCAAGCGGGTTGATAGACAAAGCTTTCCTCAAATCGAATGCGAGAGAGCATCTGATCTTCGTCTTGGGCAAAATTTTAGATCTGAGGTTGCTCGCTTGCGGGCGTACTCCTGCTCGGGATATGAAATTAAAGAATACGCGGAAGAGAATCGAAAATGAAGGGAAAACGTTAACTATGCATGAGAAAAACCGGGTAACACCAGAGACTGCAAATAAATATCAAGAAGGGTAATTTAATAAATCCGTGTTGCAAGTTAGAATTAGATCAATTCTATTAGAACAGTGGACCTACAAGATGACAAATCATTTCCGACTTACACAAAAGAAAAGTCAGTAGGAGGAAAATCAACAGAAACCGCCAACTTAGTATTATTGAACTAAAACGACATCAGTATAACCGTTCAGAAATAAAGCTATGTTTAGACAAATACAACATTATCTAATGCAAGTTTTACATACATGGAATCAGTAAGTCTTGAGATTGAAATCTGATTCCGTGTCTAATTCAGTTTCATTTTCAGCTCTTTTTACGTGCATAAAAAAGGTGAAAACGTAACGTTTTGCCGTTGATTTTCGTCGTCCTTCATCAATACGCCTCACGTCGAAGACTTAGTGTAGCTTTTATTGATTAAAAAAACATTTTTGTTTGTTTAGGCGCTATTGGGAGCAAGCGATTTAAAAGATTTCGTTAAATGTCTAGGACTATATGGCACCGAAGTTCCTTAAATCTAACATTCGATTTGTTATGATATTATTCTCAATTGTAACTGAACCAGTTTTTTATTGGGTTGGAAAATAAATGAGAGCGGATTTACTTGGTTCGATTGTTCAAGCCGTCTTTATTTAACCCAGAATCTGTAAATTATAACGATGACCCATTTTTAAATTTACTTTTGATCAAATCAAATTGCAATTTCAAACAGCTGCATTTTCACTTGCTCAGAATCCAAATTTTCAAATATCAATAACGACTGATTAACATATATAAAAAAGATGAACAACGAGAATAGCTTGAATCCTATTTAAAAAATAATCACCCTTAATATTTTAAAAAAGGAACCGCCGCCGACGGAAAGCAAAATTCTTTGTATCGAGGAAGTTACTGTTAAGCGATTGTCAGCTTGTCAAAACAACAGGAATATTTTTCGAGTGTGCTATATTTACTAAACTGATATTCTGAGAGTCAGAAAAGCTTTCCACTTGATTATCATAATAAGCGACAAATTTTTGATTTATATCCGTTTACCATTAGGTCAATGCTAAGACTGACGTGCACCCTTGACAATACCTTTTTAGAATTCGGAACGAAAATATGTGTCTCTGTTCTTCAAATGCTTGAGCTATTTATTTAGTTTAAAAAACTAGTAAAAATCATAAAAACAGAGGGAAACAAATTTGATTTCGATTCCAAAGAAAACTTGCCCACATAAATTTTCATTATCGTGGATCTAAAATGACGATATTAGCAAGCCTTTGATTTTGTAATTACCACAAAAGCAATTGCTAAAACAACAAAAAATGCGTAGTAGGAAAACGACGACAACGAAAAAAAATAATAGGCCGAATAATTACGAATCGAAATCTGAAGCGAACACCGGAGATGGAACAAAGGGGTATCACTGCGGCAGTTTTTAAAATCAATTTAGACAAATAATCTGTTTACAAATGGAGTCCTTTTTTTGCACTTACGCAGCGCCCATGGTGTCTTGGGAATTACGCACAACACCCTACTGCATGCACCCGGTGTTCCTTTCCAGTCGACGCCCGCGCTTTCCGTGTCATAGGGAGCTGGGAGCTTCACAATCGACAACGGCGACGGCAGCGAAAACGTCACTTTTAAAATGAGTTGGCGTTTTTTTCAAACTTCGTCGCGTTTATTCCTTTTCGCTGAAAATGTCAAATGTAGGCGAATTTCCCGGGAGTTGGTTTCTTGGGGACCGCACTCACGTTTAGAGAGAGAGAGAAAAATTCGTCGCCGCTTGTTTGCGTCCTCCATAAAACGTGAAAATAGGAAATTTCACGTCGTGTTCGCGCAGTGGTGGCAAAGAAATATACAAAAGTGTGATGCACGTGCAAAGTTGTTGTCTTGCTAGAATCAAACCTATTGCTTCAATTTTTTGCCGTTTTTGTTTCCGTCGCCGCCGCGAAAACGTCACTTTCAAAAGTGACTTCACCTTCTTTTAACTTTACCGCGATTATCCCATCTCATTCACTTTGTATAGTATCTCTCCGGGAGTTGAATTCTTGGGAAAAATATCCAAGTTTAAAAAGAGGAAGAGAAATTCGTCGACGTATGTTCACGTTGTCGATAAAGCGTGAAATTAGGCATCATGTTGTAGTCGTGCAGAATACAAAGTTGAAACGACAAAGTTGTTGTTTTGGTAATCTTATAGACTACGAGTAGTCCCCCATTTTTCTTCAGGGATAGTAGAGCGAGCAAAACGCGAGCGCGCGTGAAAATCACCCCACGCGAGAAAAGGCGACACGCGAGGTTACGCGAGGTGATTTTCACGCGCGCTCGCGTTTCGCTCGCTCTACTATCCCTGAGGAAAAATGGGGGACTACTAGTCTACTAATCTTGGGGCTATGTTGGGCTTTGTTCACACCATGCTGGATGGCTTTTGCGCCCGCACGAAAATCATACCGGATAGGACTTCTGTTCACACATAAGAACCGTGATTTTGGCGCGATTTCTGTGACGGAGCGAAGCAAAGCCGCGCAGATCTCTAAAGTGGAGACTTACATATCGGATAGGTGTTCACACTATAACGGATAGCTTCTTGTTTAGCACGAAAATATAGTGTGAACATTAGCCTCCCACGCAGACATTACGTTACGTTACGTTACGCTACGTTACGGGACGTTACGAAACCACGACGATGACGGAAACTGGAACGTCAAAAAACAACAGGTTTAACGAGCAAAACAACAACTCTGCACGTGCAACACGCTTTTTTGTACATTTCTTTGCCTTCACTGCACAACTACGACGTGAAATGACCAAATTTTAAGTTTACTTGGGAGCGGGAACGACAAGGCGATAAATTCTACCATTTCTGTCCGAACTTGAGCGCGTTCCCTTCCCTTCAGCTCCTGCCAAAATCCCCTTCTTTTAAGTAACAGGGCGAATTGGGATAATCGCGAAAAAAATTCAAATATGCGAAGTCTGTTTTTAAGCGACGTTTTCATGGACGTCGTCGCTGTTGGATCGTGAAGTCCCTAATATTGTTAGGGTTCGTCACGCGTTACGAACCCCTACGAACGTCTGCGTGGGAGGTTATGTGTACATAGGCATAGAATGAAAACCCGAAAGCTGCGACAACGACGCGCAAATATAAAAACGGGCTTGATTAATAGGAGCGCTGGAAATTAGGTACTGGATGTCGCGCGCAGTCGTCTCTGAGAGTTTTTTGTTGTTGTTGTTGTTGTTGTTTTTTCGTTCTCTTCCCGTCGCGTTGTCATTTTAAATCTGCTTCGTGAAGCCTGAGGACTAGGTAGAAATAAAGACAGATGATGATGGCCATTTTAGGAAATTGTGCAAGACAAGGAAAGGGTTGAGCACTAGCCAGATTCGACAACCAGTCACGCGGTCGTTTTGCATATCGGCACAATGACTTCGATTCATGAATAAGAGATTTGGGAAAGAGAAACAGCGTGCAAAATATATTTCTGCACTCCAAAAATTATATTTCGAAATTATTATCTCATTGATCACTGAGATATGCACGTGAACTCTCGGAGTTGACAACCATCAGCTTTCCAGCTTTTACAATTGACAAGGATGGGAGAGCTGTGTAGCAAATTAACCACAGGCTTCCCATTTTCTGTTAGCTTTTTCTGTTAGCTTGTTTGTGAAAGGGGTTTACCAACTGGCCATACCCAGTCATAACAATTGACAATAAGATGTTGAGGGGTTTAGGATAGATAAAAACAACTGAAAAAAACGCTAAATCGTCAAAACGAAAATGAACTGTTTATAAGCAAAACTGATGGAAAACTGACTCATATTAGTCACACTTCAAACAAACATTCATATAGTTATATATATTTCAGCAAATAGTAACAAAACGTTACTGTTTAGATACTCTAAACTCTGTTTAAAAACATTGAATGTATGACATTACATTGACCAATAAACATTTCTTTCTGCCTGGTTTGAACAATTCAACACAATGTCAAATTGAGGCCATTTTCGTCTTTCTTTTTTTATTTTTTTTTTTGTGCTTTTTTTCTGGTAGGAAGCACAGTGACATTTGTTTACCATTTCATGGAAATTGAAATCTAGAGTCACTGCTCACTATCATATTACATGTAGGTCTCTAGTTTTTTTCTATTTTTGTCTCGTAATACAAAACATTTTGAACCAAAGAGACAAATCTAGAAGACAAACATGATCACATTCTAAAAAGAATACTTAACATTTTATCACATCGACAGGAGAACCAAGTCTGCATGCAGCCATCTCTGTTTTGGTTTGTGGAGATCCAGGGAGAAGGTCCCAGGGGAATGGGATCCAGACCCCACCAGAAATGGGGAATGGGATCCAGACCCCACCAGAAATGGGGAATGGGATCCAGACCCCACCAGAAATGGGGAATGGGATCCAGACCCCACCGGAAATGGGGAACAGGGTCCAGATCCCACCGGAAATGGGGAAAAGGGTCCAGATCCCACCGGAAATGGGGAACAGGGTCCAGATCCCACCAAAAATACAAAACAGGGCCCAGTTGTTTGAACACCGATTGGCGCTTAACCCGGGGTTAAAATTAACCCAGGTTTCTTTTTCTTGTGTTCAAAAGCATTTTCTCGGATAATTTTCTCTGTTATTTTTAGAGCTTCCAATCATCAACTTGTTGACAAAACGAATTAAAACTGAAACGCTTTTAAAGCTTTCAAATCTGAATTCAAATCTCGCACTAACCCTGGGTTATCTTAACCCAGCTTTGAACAACTCGGCCCTGTACTGTATATTGAGGCACTCTTAGTGGTGGTATGTATGTCCCTGGTCTAAATTTCAAATAGGGTCAACTCGCATTTTGAGGAGTAGGGTATGTTCCCGTCAGTATTCAACCCACCCTTATGTCGTTTGTCACCACTTCCACTAGTCTTATGTCACTGGTTTAAGGTCATGTCACTTGTTGGAATTTTATCCTAACAGG